TGGCAAACAATTCCTCCAATGGGGTGCACCAGACCACAACAAAGTCTCCTCCTTTGCCATCCCCTTTGCGTTTTTCCAAGTTTTTTCAGGTCCTGCTCGCCAATTTATTTGATTATTTATTCATATATCTTTCTTGTGGGTTGTTGTAAATTGTTTTTTACAGTCTTGTAGTACCTTTCTGTGTTGCCATTTTATTTTTGATTGTGTGCTGATATTTATGCCACTGGGTTGTTGCATTTCTCTATCAGCATTTACTGCTTCCAACCTAACTATTAGAAGGATGTTAATTTAGAGATTATAACAAATGTGTCGTTTTTTAAATCTTATTTTGTTTCTTTTCCATGCATCTTTTCCCCTAGAATAGGTTTGTACTATTAGATCTTCAAATTCAGCTCAGTCTCCCACGAAGCAATCTTTAACATAAAATTGAGAACATATACAAGAAAGGACTGTGGAGTGTATTGAAAATCTGTCTTTCTTGGTTCTCTGTTTTACCCTCAATCTACAGAAAGTCAAACCCCATGTCTTAATTCTGCGAGTCCGCAAGGAAATATTGCCTATCCTTATAATCTTAGCCCGTTTTGAGATTTTGGTGAAATCTAACTTCTTCGTGTTGCTATTTTTTGCTCCTTTGTTTGCTTGAGCAGAGATGTGGGTTCATTACAGTTTTGATTTAAATCATGCTACTATGCATTTCAAGGAGTATGTTTTGTTTTTTATTAGATGGCTAATAAATGTCATCATTCTGACGAAATTGTCATATGGATCATATGGTTATTCTAATGCTCTAATTGTGTACTTTTACTGTGCCAGTCCAATATGAGAATCTTGGTTACTGGGGGAGCTGGATTCATCGGTTCTCACCTGGTTGACAGATTAATGGAAAATGAAAAGAATGAGGTCAGCATTTTATTTCTCTCTTATCAAAGCTCAGGGTCAGTTTTTCTGTTCATAATGAGTTCAAGATCCAGTTTAATTTATATATTTTATGATTGGAAACTTTTGTTAACATTAAGCACCTATGATGAACAAAAATTGCAATAACTGACACAGTGTGAGATCATACATCACAATCATTTGTTTCATCAGGATTAAAATTGTATCCAATTTCTACTCAGGTTATTGTTGTTGACAACTACTTCACTGGCTCCAAGGACAATCTGAAAAAATGGATTGGTCATCCCAGATTTGAGCTAATTCGTCATGGTACATACAATTTGGTTTATTAGCGAGTTTCTTCCATATGTTTTTGTTTATTTGTCACTTACAAAAGTATGGCTTTTATTTAAATGCATTTATGTTTAATTGCTCTCTTTTCTTTGTTATAGATGTCACAGAGACATTGTTGGTCGAAGTTGATCGAATTTACCATCTTGCTTGCCCAGCTTCTCCAATTTTCTATAAATACAATCCTGTAAAGGTATAAACATGTATTCTTCAATCATTAAATAGCCAGCAATCGATATACCTGTCAAGTGTTATTCAAATTGCCTACAGTTTGACAGATTTGTCAGGGGTGGGGGGGACATATTAACGTGTTGCAAATTAAGGCAGGCAATATGTCATTTGCCCTTAATCAGCAATGAAAAAAGTTGTTAGATATTTTTGCGATCAGCTTATATGGTACTTACACATATGTATGATATTTTTACTTTCTTTTTCCTGTTCAATCTATAAGATCTATTTTGTCCCTTAAACAGAAAGACTGTTTAATTTTTTTTTATTGAAGTTGTAATCTAACATTTGAGCATATGATTCTCCAACAGACGATAAAAACAAATGTGATTGGCACGCTGAACATGCTTGGACTTGCCAAGCGAGTTGGAGCAAGGTGGTCTATTAGTCTTGCATTTATAATAAATTTATAAATGTATTCCATCAAGTTGTCTTACGTATATATATTTGAGCAGGATTTTGCTGACATCAACTTCAGAGGTATATGGAGATCCTCTTGTGCATCCACAACCTGAAAGCTATTGGGGTAATGTTAACCCAATCGGTAAGTGCTCATCTCATTCGAAGCCTAAAGTTTGCTGCATTCTGATAGATCTTAGAAGATTGTCGCTGCTTATATATTCAAACTATAGATATAATTTGTGTGCAAATATATTTGGCAAGAAGTAGAATAACCATTTCCGTTCTCTTTAGATAGCTCTTAAATGTTTTACCTGATTTGAGATGGACTTCCTTGAGGGAGATTCTGGAAATGCTGAACTGTTCATGGGCTTTACTTTTGGAAGTGAATAGAAAAGTGCAATCTTTAGGACCCTCTATAGTGTGGGTCTTTGATAATATTTGGGAGAGCACTCAATTAAGGCCCTGCGTCTAGCTTTTTGCAATCATGTTGGACATATGGTATAGAGGCTTTGGATGAAACCTAATCTGCTGAATTTTCCCATATCAAACCTATTTGAGTACCAAGGAGCAAGGATAATAAAAAATGTGTCTGCATTTATGATAGGAACTCATAAGCATACTTTGATAGAACTTGCCATCTGTTCTGTATGAAATGCTGATACATATCAACAAAAGCCCTAAGCCTTGCCCTTTGCCCTTATAACCTAAACTGAAATAGTTTGTAAATGCTAGAAGTTTTTTTTTGTAGTTCAAGGATTTATTTAAGTTCATGAGACCATGACCTCAATAAGTACATATTATAATCACAGGAGTAAGGAGTTGCTATGATGAGGGGAAGCGTGTTGCTGAGACCTTGATGTTCGACTATCATAGGCAGCATGGGATAGGTATTGTGTTGTCTCTTTTTCCTTTTCCACCTTAACAAATTATTGTTTATTCTTTCCTGTGCTGAAATGGTTAAAAGTTTGCTCTTCAGTAGTTTCATGTATCTAATTTCCTCTGTTCTCTTTGACAGAAATACGTATTGCCAGAATCTTCAACACGTATGGCCCTCGCATGAATATTGATGATGGGCGTGTAGTCAGCAATTTTATAGCCCAAGCACTTCGGTGAGTCCTTAGGATGCTCCACGATTTTAATGATGGGTATATCAGCAGCTTGCCTAGTGCCTACATGGAGAAAATCATGACTAGCTAGTTTAATCACTTATTAATTCAGTCTCCTTCTACTTAAAGATAGCTAGCCAGCATGTTTTTGGTATTGATTGGGTAGTGGTTGGTGTCTGACATAAAGGCCTTATAAAGCCAGGAGTGATATGTTTGATATTCACACATATTTGTGTAGTTGCATTGTATCTTGAAATTAGCTTCCATACCTGCATTACCGTTTAAGCTTAATCCTTACCTTTGGATCTATTTTTACACTCTGTTTTCAATATTGTAGTGATGAACCCTTGACAGTCCAAAACCCTGGGACTCAAACTCGCAGTTTCTGTTATGTCTCTGACATGGTATGTGAAACATCTTTTCCTTTTCATTCTGTTGCCGTGTATTGAAATAAGTTGGGTTATATATGGTAACCTGTTGAAAAAAATTTAGGTTGATGGCCTCATTCGTCTCATGGAAGGAGAGCACACTGGACCCATAAACATTGGAAACCCAGGTTATCTACCATAAATGTTATAGTGTGATGTGTTTGTATCTCAAAAGCTATACCAAGTATGTGCTCTAGTTGCTCACATAATTACTGACCTAGGTGACTTTTTTGTATACTTTCAGGTGAATTTACAATGCTTGAACTTGCAGAGACAGTGAAGGAGGTCAGTTTGTCTTCGCCATTGTCTTTCTCCATTCGTAGGCTGTTATGGTATTCTTTTCTAGAAGCTGTTTTTATTTCTTGAAGCGTCTTTGAAAATTTTCAAATGCATTTGACTTTACAGCTCATCAACCCTGGGGTGGAGATAAAGAGGGTGGAGAACACTCCTGATGATCCAAGACAGCGGAAACCCGACATCACAAAGGCAAAAGAATTGCTGGGTTGGGAGCCAAAGATCAAGTTACGGGAAGGCCTGCCTCTCATGGAGGAGGATTTCCGCTTGAGGCTGGGAGCAGCCAAAAAGAACTGATTGTCTATATTGCTGGAAATATAGGTGAGCGAGCGTGGTTTGTTCTTTCTGTCCTGGAATATATGTTTGACAACGCTGGAGTATGCTCGTCTGCAATGATTCATGTGACCACATTGTGACGAGCAATGATTCATGTGACCACATTGTGCTTCCTTGTTCTTTCTATTTCATTGTGTTATAATAGAAAAATAAGAACTGGTGCTTGTTAAAAGGTTTTCTGCCTTTTTCATTCCTTTCCAAAGTGAGTGCTAAGATGCCAAGGAGAATCCTTCAAAATGTGGCATTTAGTGCTGTTACGGAGTTAAGATTGTCCTCAGCTGAGTGTGCTACTTGGACCCCCCCAGTTTTGGTCATCAATAATTCAATTTAATTTTTATTCCATAGAATCTCCATGCGATGTTAATGCTTGTATTATTGGTTGGTTGCACACTTGGTTTCATATTCCTTTTAAGATTATATGAACACAGCCCGTCTGATTTCTTTTTCTTCACACAAATCAGAGTTTGACACATACAAAAGGGACCCGTGTCTAAGACTGATCTGTTAGGCGTAAGAAGCCAAAGTATTTTTTTTCTTTTTTTCTAAGATGGTAAGATGCCTGACAAGTTGCTCAGTAAGGTAAAAATGCTTTAACTCATCCCAAAAACAACTCAAAGATTTCGACTTCCTGTGGCACTTGTTTTATTGGGAAATTCCTCCCACTTGTATGGACAAAGGCAATTATCGCACAGACCCATCACTCTCCAGGGCCTGGATGAGGCTTATTTCAACTTTCAAGATGTCAGTTTTGTTGTGTTCCCCTCCCCTACCCTCCAAGAAATTTTTCTTCCCAAAACTCTTGGGTCATGGTAAAGTTTTGTCTCCAGACCCTATGAAACACCTCCAGTGCTATTCTCTACACCACACCTAAAATAATATAGCACTTTTGCCCGAATGAGACATGAGAGCAGGCACAAAATTAAATTAAGAACAAGAATGAAACGACAAGAAGTTTATAAGCCTATAACAATAACATGTGTAACACAACTTTTGTTTCATTTTTGAAGATTGTCTAGCCAAATGCACCAAGTTCAAAACCAATGAATAGAAGTCTTTCTTCTCATGTTATTCAAGTCATCCAAACATAAAAGAAAATTCAAGAAAAAAGAGTATCTAAAGCATTTCTCTTTCGTTATTAAAGTCTCTGAAAAAGCACGCAAATCTCCCCCTCCGCAACAAGAGAAGAAAGGTGGCTACAACAGCATCCAGAAATCACCTACAACACAACACAAAAGAAGTACTGAATTTAACTGACATACTCATAAAACTATATCCAGCAATGGTATGGCTTACTATGGATGATATACAAACATTGATACATGCCAAAAAACACAAAACTGACAAAAATAGCAGAATCAGATTATTGAAAAAAAAAACACTACATACAAATATAGCAATCAAAAGAAATCGATGCCAGTACATCCCAAGAAAAGCTGAAACATGGTATCACTGCCAACCCCATGTTACATGTAAAAGTTGAGTATTGCGTTGACCATGTCTCGTAAAGGTACCCATTTGACTTGTATCCTTAACTGCATAGTGGGTAACTTAGACACTTAACTAGACCATTACTTTAGAATTTTCAGACCCTTGTTAACCACAAGTACGAAACCTAAATTTTTAAATAGGCTCACACTTTAGAATCTACAAAACCTCCTAACCCAATACAAATGCAACTCATCATATTAGCTAAAGACTAAAGATGAAGAAAGTTAGCTCAGGATGACAATAGGAATAGTCTGAGTATTGAAAATTGTGTAACCACCAACCTGCCAAATTTTTTGGTTTAGTGGCCAAAAAGGTATTAAACAGAATTATTATGGGTTTCATGTCCAAGTGACTTGTTGTCAGATATATAATCAATAAAAAATAAAACAGAAACCCTCATGTGGTCTTTTGCTACAACATGATAAGGTTGAGATGATCAAGGTGATTGGACAATTTCAACCCGATTATCAAGCACCAGAAGACCAAGTCTAACCATCTGATTCTAACCCTCACCCATCTCAACACCTTGAACATGTTCTTTTTATAATGAAAATATGTCAAAATTATAAGTTCTGAAAACACATATCATTTTTCAATTTTGTGGCTTAAAATGCACAATGTATGACGACCTCCTCCTAAAGACTATGGATTCTAATTTAACTCAGATTCCAAATGCCTACCTCTCTAATTGATGTTTTCGCATACATGAGAAACAATAAAAATTGCTAAAGTAACAGAAGCAGGATCTAGATGACATTCATTATATACACCTGCAATCAGTCAAAGTGCCCATGTAACTCAAAAGAGTGCATTTTTTCACTGACTGTATTGCCTTCATCTGAATAATAACTAGTTTCTCTCTTTATCTAAATCCCAACAGATAAAAGGATTAAAACAAAAGGTACCTCTTGTGCCTCTGAACGAAAGCCGAGTTCTTAGCGTCTTCCTCTGTGAACAAATTAAGAAGAAACAAATGGGTCAGCGAAATTAGGGTTTTGTTTTTCAAAATTGAAATGAACAGATCGGGACGAAGAGTTTACCAGTGAGGCCAAGAGATAACTTGGTGATGAGGGTTCCGGTGATGGCAAACCCAGCCAGGAACGGCCAGTTCCTGTTCCATTCTCGCTTGAAGAAAATCGGCCATGGATCGAACTTCCTCATTTCTGAATTTTCTCTTTCCTTCTACAATTGCTCTCTCAGTCTCTCCGTTTGTGGGTTGTGGCTATTTTGTAGCTACTTGTAACCGTAGGATTTTGGTGTTGGTCTAATCTGATTTGATGCTTGTGGACATGTGGGCTTGTTGAGTGAATTGGACAAAGCTGATGGCGTCCGCTCCCATTTCTTCATGCTAAAACAGTTTCGAGCAGCTAAAGTAGGCCCAATGGAGATGGTTCAAAACAAGATAAAGGGCTTCTAACTATTACCATGGGTCAAATTCTAATAAAAGCAAAATTATTTATAATATATAATAATTTTGGATTACGTTATAATTATCTATATATATAATCTATCTATATATATAAAGCAAAAGGCAGAGAATGGTGAAACATTCAAAATACCAAAAAATGCCCTTAGTTAATGCAAACATTAAGAATTGAAATTATTAATTAAATGAGGATAATATGGTAAATTCATACTTTTTCATATTTAAAAAAATTAAAATTAAAAGAAAAATCAGATAATGGATCCTATTTTTATGGAACACAACTGCCCATTATCTTTTTTAATTCTAAAATAAATTTAATTTTTTTTAAAAAAAAGCCTCTCGCAGGCGCGGAAGCGCATGTAGAGAGGCTAGTTTTTTATAAACGATAGGATATCTATAAGATGCTTTGCTTTACCAAGTTTTGTTTTGCTGGTGCCCCAACTAATCCGAGGGGATAGAGCATGCTTAATGCAACCTCACACCGTGTACACGGTGGTGATCTAACTAAACCAATCTTGCTCACATAGTTTTACTCCGTCATAAAATAATCATGTTAATGTCTTACTTAGTTATAAGTTCTCGCTACAAGGCTCGGCTATAAGAGGATTTTAAAAGAGCCAAAACACTTACGACAAAGCTACACCACAAATATGATTTGAACAAAAAAAAAAAACTACATCACAAGTACAATCCCGAGTTTTTAACAAAGGCTTTTTAGTTCAAATTGAATTGGAATTTTTTTAAAAATTACTAACTACCGTACCATACTTGAAGGGTTTATTTGGTGGCGCAACTTCGATAGGTTGAATTTTAGTACAAACAAGTTCTTATGAAATTCATTTCTTTATATGGGACTTATAAGATATAATATATTGAATTATTGTCCAATTTAATAAGCCAAATTCTAATATACCAAATAACTACCATAATATTTAGGACACTGCTTCTCTCCTTCCCTGTAAAGAGGCATTCTTACTTCCTTTAAATTACAGTTTGACACATATACAAAAACAATGCATCAAAAACATAAAAATCTCTACACATATCAAATTGTAATTGGCAGAAAAATAGGAGCTCCTACTTCTAAGGAAGGAGATTGAATTGAAAATAATTAAGTCCAGTCAACCACACCAAAGGTGGCTGAAAGATTTATTGGTACAGTATACTTGATTTTTTGGGCACAAATTCATTTGTCCATCCTATACAGTATACTGAAAATAAATTTTAAAAAAATAGTGCAATACAGTATTCAAGGGTGTTTTAGTAATTCATCGATGCGAAAGGCACGTGCTGCGCGCCTGTTTTCCCCAAAATTTTCATGCGAAACAAACTCAAAAATTTCAAACTCAAAATTCGCATACTCCCTTTGCGCTCTTCGGCTGGCCTTCCAAACTACGCCAAAAGACCAAACACCTCATTCACCCTCACTAAAAAAGCACAATCCGTGCCAAACCAAATTCATCATCTCCGCACCGTAGATTTAAACATAATCAACGCTTCAAAACCAATTACAGAGTTTCACGCGGATCGACTCTCTTAGCAGTCGATAAGCATACACATCCAACGGCCACTATCAACCCCGCCAGACTTTCAAAATTCCAAATCCCCAACTCCCTACAATATAAATACCCAAAATTCCTCCTCTGCTTAACCCGTCAATTCATCTCTAATATCTCATCTTCTTCGAAACTCAAAATTTCCCAAAGTTTTCTGGGAAAATGTCAGGCCGAGGAAAGGGCGGTAAGGGTTTGGGCAAAGGGGGAGCCAAACGACATCGTAAGGTCCTCAGAGATAATATCCAGGGCATCACCAAGCCTGCGATTCGTCGTCTGGCTCGCAGAGGTGGTGTGAAGCGTATCAGTGGTCTGATCTACGAGGAGACCAGAGGCGTCCTCAAGATCTTTCTTGAGAATGTGATTCGTGATGCAGTGACTTACACTGAGCACGCCAGGAGGAAGACTGTGACCGCCATGGATGTGGTGTATGCTTTGAAGAGGCAGGGAAGGACCCTCTATGGTTTTGGGGGTTAGATTGGGAATTTTCATGCTGTGTATTGCGCATATTAGGTTTAGGGTGGTTTCAGATCTTGGCTTTAGATCTATGAGCTTATTAGATATTCTGTGGTTAAGAATTAGCGTCGATGTAATTTGCTCCCTTATTTTGAAGTAATACAAGTTCAATTTGTTAGCAAAGCTCGTGATTTTGTTATGTGGTGAATTTTTATCCAATTATCTTCTGGGCTACATGTTTGGTTGCTGAGAAAATTCATGGAACGATGCGAAAATATATTCGTACTCTTTGTCTGGACTTACATTCGTCTATAAGTTAAAAGTTTAAATCTTGTAATAGTGATCTGAAGACGTGAGAAAATCTGGTTCAAACTGTATGCTTTTGGTTACTCTTATTAGTTGAAAACAAATTAGGGTCTATAACTAGGAATTGGGTCGAGTTCGTAACGCTTGGTGAATGGGCAATTGGGGCACCATCTGGTATTTTCTTGGGATGTGGTGGTTGGTGATGCTTGTGGGGGGTACCCAGTTTATCATCCGAATGCTTATGGGCTTTGATTGAGTTTGACAAACACGATTTAATCTTAGAGACCGTGTTCGATTCTTCCTCCCTCGTGAATATTTTAGAAACACTGTGATCATGAAGTCTCTAAGTTCGATTCTCCCTTTCTTGTGAATATTTTAAAAACATGCATACCATATAATTTGTATTGAGGAATATATTATGTGTCTTTATGAAAATATGGAGGTTAGGATACGACTTTAAGCTAATGTGCCAAAGATTGGAAAGTGTTTTGGATAATTTGTTTATGTGCAAGCAGGAAAATATTATGTTTTGTCACATTGAAATTTTTTTACCCAATTTTATCAGAAATAAGAAAAAGCCTATTTCTCTAGAAAAGTTGGGAAAATCGAGTCACGTGCTGCGTGCACATCACTACCTACCCCGTGACAATAATAGCTCAGACATTTTATAAGGTGAATGTGATTAATACAAAAAAGAAAAGCTGAATGTGAGGTCCGGATTTTAAAAAGAAAAATAAATATAACATCACTCTATGGTTCCTTATAACATAAAAAAAGAAGGTAGTCTAATGGTTAGACCGACGATTGTGTCTTTACATGTAAATGAGTTTGCCTAATCCTTCCGGTAGAGGCGAACACACGTTGGGACAAGAGGGGTCACGCGACCCCTTGGAATGTCGGAAATTTGGCTGTGAACTCTATGAACGACCCCTTGGACAGCAGCGGAGCGATCTCTTGTGTGCACACCAGGTGCTCGACGAAAGTCCTAGCCCGCTGTCTGTCTGCCTTGCTACGATGTTGCAAGCGCTGCGCATCAATTTTTTTTAAAATGAGCCTGGCCAAACGATGTCGTTTTGTCCAAGGCTCAGTCAAATGTTTTTTTAATTGACTTGGCCTCAAAACGACATCGTTTTAGACTAAGTTTTAAAAACTATTTTTATAAATAAATAAAATAAAATAAACCATCCTTTACCCAATTTCAGCACAGCACCTCCAAACCCTTTTTCATTCCCAATTCCATATCTCACCCTTTCAAACCCTAAGAGCTCCAAACCTCCCAACCTCCAACCCCCACCCTTGTTGATATTGATTTTTTTTTTTATGGATATTATAATGTGGATTGATTGAGTATATTGAATAACGATTGATATGTAGTATTTTATTTATTTATAAAAGTTGAGAAGGTCCGGGAGAGAGGATTGGGGTGGATGTTGCTGAGGGTGAAACTGTGAAGAAGAAGATGGGAAGGTTTTGTTTTCTTTTTCAAAGTGAGGGGTTGGGCTTGTTTCATTTGAATTTTTTTAAAAGATAATTGTAGTCTCTATACATTATAATTTCATTCTTTATTTATAAAAAAATGATAATCTCTTTTAGATCAGATATTAACAAAAGTGCCTAAAATTATTGAAAAATAAATGATTTATGAAGCTATAATGCAATGTTTTCAACAACAAAAAAATTGTCGGGTACAATTGAAGCTTGGATGAAAGTACTTTTTTTATTTTTTTATTTTATAGTGTTATTTTATTTATTTATTTATAAATTCGATGCTTTTATACTATGACCATTTGGCCCGAGAATCCTGAATCCTCCACGGCTTTCCGGCCTAAATTTTTCCCATGATTTGTATTCTTATGTGTAAATGAACTCGCCTAATCCTTTTTTTTTTTTGTCTGAACCATGAGGTGGTCCTGGATGGGCCCCAACTATGGGTGGCACCTTTAAGCCTTAATCACAACCCAGACTAATCCTCACTCACACCGGGTCGGCCCGTAAGGGGTAAAGTGTTGGCCAAAGTGGTGACTTCGTACGAGAGCAGGGATCGAACCCCTGACCTCTCTTAAGGAATGAGTGTGCCAAACCACTCACACCAACCACCTTGGTTTCGCCTAATCCTTTTCGACCTGGCTCTCTCCTGTGTACTACAATCCTTTTATCGAAATAATTTATAATCCAATGAATTTGTGTTCTTTTTTCCAGTAGCATGTGAACGTTTTAAGAACCTTCTACCTAGTGGAACAGCAAAAAGCTCCGACACCACCACCACAATGCCCCACGTGTAAATGATTACGTGGAGTTTTCTATGGTACCAGCCTCAACTTCCAAAAGGACAAAATTAAAGCCCAAGTTCCCCGCTTACATTTTGTCCTCGCATTTACCTCTCTAAAATTTTAGTGGCACCTGAATCACCGGTGACCTCCAAAGTCCACCCAAAACCCGAAACTCTTGCCCGGTAATTTTACCGCGCCATTTTGATCGGCACTTCCCGGTTTCCGGTATGGGAGTGCCGAGCGACGACGTCGTTGTGATCCAGACAGGTAACCGGCCTGGCGAGCCCTGCGTCATCACCGTTAATTGCCCGGACAAGACCGGCCTCGGCTGCGATATTTGCAGAATAATCCTCGATTTTGGCCTTTGCATTAAAAAAGCAGGTACCTTTCTGCAAATTTAACAATCAAGCAAGCTCATTTATAAGGATCATTAGTTTTTGTTATTTTTCAGTGATTTTTTCATGTGGGTTTTGTTTTTTAGATTAATCTGGTGGCTTAGAGATAATTAATTGCGTTTGGAAATTAATGTGATTGAATTTTACTCAATAGTTTTTTTTTTCCTTTTTGCTTTGTGAATTTCTTGGTGTAGATTTTTCAACTGATGGGATATGGTGCTACGTAGTGTTATGGGTATTTCCTCATTCAAGCTCACCAGTTGTGAGATTGTCAAATTTGAAGAACCAGCTCCAATCTGTATGCCCATCATGCACAGTGTCGTATTACTTCTTCCAGCAGACCACACGACCGTCATCCTCAGCAGTTTATCTATTGACGTTTGTTTGCCTTGACCGCAAGGGGTTGTTGCATGGTAATAATAATAAGAGTAAAATTTATCTGTCTCTTAATTGTTTTGAGGTGGTTCTAACTTCTAACTTGTAATCTAATGTTGCCTTAACTTTGTTTCTTTTAGATGTTACAAAAATTCTCTCTGAGCTTGAGCTTTCAATTCAAAGTGTGAAAGTGACCACAACCCCAGATGACAGGGTCTTGGACCTCTTCTTTATAACAGATAACATGTGAGTTTTGCCTTAGGACTTATATTTTTTTTTATTTGTACTTTGACAATTTGAAGAACTTTCTCTATTGTTGTTTAATTTGTTCTTATTATGTAAAGAATTTACCAGTTTTCTACTGCATTGTAAGCAGTAAGACGATAACGTGATGTCTACAAGTTCCATGATTTGTCTAGTTCAATAAGTTTCCCACTTTGGAGAAAGTAAAATAAATGTTACATTTGTTATATTTGTCTTTTATATTAAGTCTTGACTGACTTGTGCTGCCTTGGAGTTTTAGAATTATAGTATGATTACTTTTTGGTTTTTTCTTTTCTCATTTTTACGTGGTTTCTAAATGAATGAACTCAAAGGCTTATATAGCTTAGTTTATCTTGAGGTAATAAAATGGAAACTGTGGTTTTTTCTTTTAATTATTTTTACAAGCATGCCCTCCCTAAGAGATTGGGAAAAAGATCAAACATGCCATTGAGCAAACCACGTAGACTAGGAACGACTGCATCTCATCTGAATTATTGTCCATGTTTTATTGATTTTTCTTGCAATTACATGATTTTATCAACTTTTAAAAGTTAGTTAAGATGGAATCCTGATGTAATTAATAATTGAGATGCGCTACATTCTCATTTCAGGGACCTTCTACACACGAAAGAACGCCAAGATGAGACATTAAAACAATTGCATGATCTATTGGGTGAGTCATGTATCAGCTGCGAACTTCGGCTGGCAGATCCTGTGTATGAATCCCACCGTGGCATTCCTTCCCTTTCTCCTGTAGTAGCTGATGAGCTATTTACGTGTGAGTTATTGGATAAAGAAACCCTTTCTCAAGCTCTTAGTCCAGATATGACAAAATTGAAGGAAAGCAATGTGACAATGGACAATTCATTGAGCCCAGCTCATACATTACTTCAAATCCACTGTGCTGATCACAAGGGTCTCTTGTATGACATTATGAGAACTTTGAAAGACTGCAATATCAAGGTAGAAATTCTTATCTTTTTTTATAATGAGGATATTTCATCATGTTAGTTTGGTCAACCTGTCCTGGAATGGGAATGGCCCCCCAGCCAATGAGATGAATGCGGTTTGCTGGTTCCCATACTCCTAGTTTACAGGTTTCCCTACATGGAGATGGCATTGGGCTCCAACCTCAGCCCCAAGAAGAAGGGTGATAAATATAAAAATAAACTGCAGTTGTCTGAAAGGTTATTGTTCTCAGCATAGAAATAAATAAGTAAAAACTTTAAAAGGGGATGATCAACTGATGGTATCTATTGATGGTTGCTTTCTTTTTGGTCAAATACAACTTGGTGATAGATCTAATACGATTTTCCCACACTCATAATGGGGGTTCAAATTCATTCTTTTCCTCCATGAACTCCATATAAAGATATGCATTATACTTGCCAACTTCTCATGATTGGCAATATGTTTGCAATTTCCTTATGTAAAATGTTTGCCATCTCCTTGTTCAGATATCTTACGGTAGATTTTCTCCAAATATAAAAGGCTATCGTGATTTAGACCTTTTCATCCAGCACAAGGATGGGAAAAAGTTTGTGGATCCTGATAAGCAGAATGCACTGTGTTTGCATTTGAAGGTGGAGATGCTTCACCCCTTACGCGTTATCATTGCAAACCGAGGGCCAGATACTGAACTGTTGGTTGCTAATCCAGTGGAGCTATCTGGAAAGGGACGACCACGAGTTTTCTACGATGTTACATTGGCTTTAAAAACACTCGGGATTTGCATTTTCTCGGTAAGGAAATGCAGAAGTGATTAAAAAATGCACACACACATTTCAAACTCTGAAAGTACTATAGTAGGATAAGACAGGATGAGATGCCATGCCATGCATTCTGATTTAGCCCAAGTGTTGAATGGGAAATTTATTGTGATTTACCTTTTTTTCCAGTAACAAAGTGCAGTGCTTGGCTTAATTTTGAATTACCAAATCAAATTTTGCAGCATTTTGAATAGTTTTTTGTCTTGTCTTTCAGGCTGAAATTGGAAGGGTCTCAGCATCAGATCGTGAATGGGAGGTTTATAGGTTTTTGTTGGAAGAGAACCACAAATTTCAATTATCAAATATGGTAGCTAAGAATCAGATTGTAGATAGAGTTAGAAGAACATTGATGGGCTGGTGAAGTAGATATATTTATCATCTATCTACCAAGAATCTGAGTCTTACTGTATTTATGAGCTTTCCTCTTTCCCCTAGTGCATTTTGGGCATAAAAAGATGTATGACCTATATATATATATGATGTGTTGAATCACTATTGTGAATGCCTTTGATGCATTTCAGTTTTCAGTCTTGGCCATAAGCATGCAAATTCCGGTTTCAGATGTAAATCATATTGTTCTGATCATCTTTTACTTGGTTTTTTTCTTTTTCGGTCCGAAACTCGACTTGGTCATTAGGGCAAATGAGGTGTAAAAAGAAATCAAACGTATTGTTTCCCTAATTAATTTAAGAAGCCTTGACCTATGAGAAACATGAGAAACATGTGAAGCCATCTTGGCCCTTGACCTTGAAACCATGAGAAACATGTGAAGTCCTCTTTGATGTCTAATATATGAAGGTGAGATATTATTAATATAGGCTAACTGTTCACAAAATCTTCCCATGTCATTCATATCAGGATCATATTGTTGTGCACTCTGTTTCAGAAAATAAAAAAAATAAAAAAAAGAATAAAGAGTACTGTGCACTTTTGGTTTGCATAATAGATTTGGCCAATATGGATCTCATAGTCAACCTCCAGAGGAAAAACTAGATTCATGATAGGATCATTTGCTTAATGTCTGTCCACAAGAAAGGCTAACCTAACATGTCCTGCTTTGCGTGGACGTTATCCAGTTTAATAAGATATCATACAAATTGAGAATAAGACCAACCAAATTAGAAGATAAATACAACAATTATAATTTGGTATTTGACAGGAAAAAAAGACATTGCTGATTGCAACTGCATCAGAAATTCACTAAATATATAATTATGAAGATCATAAGAATTAAAATGTAAGCATGATCATCATCACGGTGGCAACATTACTCTTAATCTCAAGTGGTTAAGAACATATATATACTACAAATCTGTTAAGATTATAAGTTTCACCAACTGCAATTGCTCACATCACCCATAGCTTAATAATTTACAGTCATTCAATTGCGTGTAAGCAAATCAATTATATCATATGCTTTTAATGATTAGAGTCATTTTTATTAATTGTTTGATTTCATCCAAACTGTAAATACATAAATTTAAAAAGATATGAATTTGCAAAGGACCCACTAGTGTAGTGGTTTGGAGTGTTTACTCCCTCAGGCAAGGTCCTGGGTTCGAATCCTAGCATCCGTGTTGTGTGTGTGAGTTTAGTATGCTATCGCCCCTCTAAATAGGAAAGGTCCTCAAAAAAAAAAAAACAAAAAAAAAAGATATGAATTTAGTTTAGTTGGCTTAAAAAGGATGTACTACCCCTTATGCACACCGAGATCGAATCCCCTTCCCATAATTTAGATTAAATTAAGGTTAAGAAATTAAGCACTAAATTTTTGATAAAAAATTCGCCGTGCTCTTTTTTTGTTCGGACGACGTGCTTATGATAAAAGCAAAAGGTGACGTGCGCAATTCAACGTGTAGTAAATCCATACTGTCCACCGCTCGACCTCCATTACCATTACAGAGGCCCTCCTTCGGCTCCACCCGTCCACCACATTTTGCTTCTCTGTCACGCCATCGAGAGTACCCCCAACTTTCAATCCCCTTTTATTATTTTAATATATTCTATTTATACTTTTAAATTAATTCATAGGTAAAGACCAAAACAGCTTACTGTTTCACCAGCTCTTGTCGACCGAGGCTTTCATTTTCAATCCATTTCAATAATTCAAGACGAAGAAGCCGAGAACCGTACCGGTTTCGGTAAAGGCCATGTTTGGATTGGATCAATCAGAGTTAGGGTTTTTCTCTCTGTAACTGTAATGCTATTGCTATCTCTTGGAGATTGAACTCCCTATCAGAATGTCCACGCCTCGAAGCTCTGCCTATCTCGATGCCGTCACTCTAGAAATCGAGAAGAAACTCCAGCGGGTATTAAATCTTCGTTTCCCGTTTGGTTACCGAGAAAATCTAGGACACTAAATGACGAAATGAAATGAATAAATCGAATTTCTAATTATTGAGTTCCTTTTATGGTTGAATTTTTTTTGTCTTTTTTATGATTTTTTTTTTCTTGGCAAGCAAAGGGAAAATATTTCATGCGCAAATTATCTATTGTAATGATGGAAATGCTTGATTTGGCATTGTTTTGTAGATAGCTGGTTTGCATTTAGAGAGCACTTAATTTGGATGCTGGAGTTTATAATTTCATTGCCGTCAGATTTATGAGCGTTTAATGTGTTGTTGTAGGCGCTAGCTTCTCCGACACAGCGGCGCAACTTGTTGCAGGAGTTGTTTGCTGACATAGCTTTAGAGATCGATGAGCGAGCCAAAGGTAAGTCGAAACTGTCCATAGACTTGTCCGTTTTCTGACTTAGCGGTCACCTGTGTTTGATGGAAAGTTGGGAAGAGTCTATTTTCATGTTGAATAAAACTTTGTATGTTGACATCTAAAATTGTTTGCTCTTATTGTGATATTGCTATAATTGGATTGTATTTTACAGTATGGTTGAACAATTCGAGCATATGATTAAGATGGCATTTATTTTAGTAAACATTTTAATGGTGATTAAGGGTCATAGTGCAACTGCCAGTGATAATACTTGGTATTGGCTGAGAATCATTTATTTGTCAGCTTTAAAATTATGAGAATGCTAGAAGAACATGGTTACTTTACTTTCTTTACCTCGGAAATATGTACTATTACTACCCCGTATGTGATGTGTGGGACTAAAAGTGGCCCACAGGCATATTGACTATTCATCGCTTTACTGCAGTGTGATTTGTATGTTGCGGAAATTTGTTCACCACTTTCCCCAATTCACATTGGTTGGGTCTTAAAGGATTTACGAGTGGTGTTCTCATTTATGCTATTCAAATTGTGTGTCAGATATGATTCTCAACAGGGAAGAGGATGCAATTTCTCCTGCAGAGGATAGCATGGATGGTCAGCTATGCTTTTATGATGTGCTCACTGACCATTATGTTCGGGTGCCTGCGAGTGGAAAACGCATCCTTGATTTGATTGTCCAACTATGGAGCCAGTCATTTGCATCTCATATTTTTGCCTTGTTATTCCACAAATGGGTATGTAAACATGCATCCAGTGTATTGATCTTTTCCATTCTATTTTTGAAGTTGCCCTTCTGGAAGCATAATTGCGTCTATTTGGTGATTTGTTTTGAAAAAATCATATTGTCCAAATGTCTTGTCTTTTTTATCTCTTGAAAACATTAGAAAAAACCTAGTATTTGAAGCCTGCTTATTTATGGTCAGCTATGATCTTGCAAAAAGTGCCTTTCGCCTCGGCCTAGGCACTAGATTACATTCCATAGGGCAGTCGTCTCACTCAAGACCCACTACTATTTTCCTGGAGTATATATATATGGTCAGCCTGACTTTCAAAGTAATAAGTTATATAGTCATCTGTTCATTTATGGGGGATCTTACCTGTTGGAACTTTCGCCTATAAATCTGGTGGATACAGCAGAACGGCTTTGACAATTTGTCAAACCCATTGAACATGATCTGGAAATTTGTCAACATCCTTAATATACAAATTGCTTTTCAAAATGAATGACACTTGGTTTTCAGACATTCAACGAATGAAATTCGGGTTTGCATACTTTCCTAGGTAGTATTCATATATCATTTGGGAGAGTTTACAGATGATGAATTGCTTTGCATGCATAGAAATGTGGAGCCTAGTTATTTGTTATAGTTAGAACAACAACAAAATCTGAATTTCAAATCATTGATAGCTTGAAGTTGACTGTTCCTTCTTTACTCTTTTTCCTGAATTAAGTCCCTGCGATGCCAAAGAGTAAGTCTTCTATTTTTTTGGGCAGCTGTTTGAAGTTCAACTTGACAACTCTGAAGTTCTTCTTCGCTACTCATCTGCTCTTATTGAAGGTGCAACAAATGTTTTCTGGTACGGATACTAGTTTATGCTTGTTGGTTGTTAATGGTTGATTGGAATTACATGGAAGTTGTTATAGATGGCTTTTGGAATGGCTTTGCAGCAATGTGAAATGTCTACTGAATTCTTAATGCTTTTTCTACTCTACTCCCATGATTGATGATATATGAAAGAAATTAATTTTCTTGTTTCCTTAATTATTTTAATATTCCTAATTCATGGTCCCCTATTATAATCTGTTCCTCCATTGTGTAGCGTTAGGTACTGTTTGTTCTGTGAAAATAAATTTCCTACATCCTGGCTTTCAACAGAAGCAAAAAGATACAAATTGGGTTTGAACATGTGTTGGTCTCTGGTCTCTGTGGATGATATTTGTTTTGTGATTTTATGTTTAATTACTGCCTCTTTGAGTAGCCATATGAATTGCTTTGGATTTCATATATGGCTTAGTTAGGAGGCAGATATTAATTCAGTGTTTTGTGAGCGAGGCCTTTTGAGGGGACTCTCTGTCTCTTTCTCATCGATTGTCCTCCAAGCAGCCTTGCACATTCTCTATTTAACCATTTTTTTCCCTTTTGGAAAAAAAAAATAAAAAAAACTGCAGCAAAAAGATTTTTTTGGACCTTTTAAACGTTCTTTGTGCTTAGTTCCCATTGCTGTCCAACATTAAGCATTCGTCTTCTGGCTGCTCCTATCCATATGTATAATGACAAATAGCATATTTGGATAATCAAATTTGTTCTTTTTCTTCCTTTTCAAAGTTACTAGGTTTAATTGTAACCCAAAAAAAAGTTACTAGGTTTAATTTGTGCGTGCACACAATATATAATTTATTCTCCATTTGGCTTAACAAACTTATTAATGGTACTCTCTGCATATTTTCAGGATTGATACTCAATCAAATACAAGGCGATTTCAATCCCTCTTTCGTGTATGAGCCCTCATAAAGATGACATTTATATGCTTTTGTTGAAGAACTTTACGAAATATTCATTACATTTTTGTGTTGTTTTACCCCACATTGTATTTCAGTATCTTCTTGAGGATGTTGCTTTGGAGCCCAAACGGTTGAATAAAATCCCTGTACAGGTCAGGAGTTCATGCTTTTTTTTAACTTTTACAGGGAACTTTTTACTTGATGTGGATAACTGTCATTCTAGCCATGAAATTGATTGAGGAGCCAATATATTTAGGATTGGAATTTAAAATTAACTTTAGAATTCTTCATTAATTCTCAGGTCCAGCGAGATCTATTTCTTTTACTTTCGAGGTTTATATTTTTTTATAACTCAGGTGGGTTTTCTGGTAATGCATCTTCAGCCCCTGAATCAAGAAATTGTAAATTCTCCAGTAATGTGTTGATTCATGCAGTTGACAAACTCGGGAGCTTCTTAAGGCAATTTCCTCTTTTTCCAAATGCTTTTCTGGTTGGCAGTGCAGAAGACTTCTTTGTTATTGAACTTGCAGATCAGGTAAATTTTGAAACACTCTGTGCTGCCAGTACTTTTGTTGAGTTTTTGTTCTCACACTGCATTGAATGAGGTTGATATTTTCTTTACTGGTCAGCTTCAAAAACTGAAGGTGGAACCAGTATTGCTGCACTATCTGTCGCACATAAAACTTCTCCAGGGTAGTATTCTAACCAATTTTTAGGTTTAAGATGTAAGGCATCATGTGAACCTGGTATAGTGGTTGCTATATATTCTAGTTAAATGTATTATTAATTTAACAGGAATGGATCTGAGAATGGCCACAAGTACAAGGTTAAAGGCTTGTTTGTATAGTTTCACTTCTCCTGGTGGTCCAATGTACCCCACAAGAGCTGTTCGTCACGCTGCCTGGGATGCATTAGATTTGCTTTTTCCCGTGAGTATATTTTTCTCTATCACAGTTCTCTGTTAAAACTGGATATCTTGCTGCATTTTTAAGTCTTAGTTTTTTGTTTGTCTGCTTTGGCATTAAGCTCAAGTATTTTGCTTTACCAAACGATATAGGTTATACTAGTAATCTTCAGTTATTTGCAGACATCTTTCATCCTTGATAAGCTTATGCTAAGTTCTAACACACTATATACGTGCTGTTTTCCTTTTTAAGTATCTAAACCTAGTATGTTATCGCCAATCCTCCCATCTATTGTTGAATGTGAGCAAAGTGGAGACCTTTATTGATGACCTGAAAGATCCATGATAATAGATCTAAACCTTTTCGGTAAAATCATGAGATAATTTTATGACTGTAAGTTCTAAACCTAGAGATAGAATAAAAGTATAGGACCTTACGTGATGCTTTTAGAGAATCTTTCGTTATCGTGGCTTCAGATGGATTGTAGGGTTACGCCTTTTGTTTAGCAAGTGTGGGAACATAACTTTTATTTGTGGTGCAGGTTGGGAGATATCCGCGGCATCTTATAAGCCTGTTCTTCCGACTGTTGTATCCGTGGTACTGGCCCTCTTCTTGTTGGAATTTCATAATGGATTGCATAAAGGCAGTATTGTATTCTCTGTTAGGATTAATCTATTCAAGTTTGGAGAAGCTGTGGAAGCCAAAGTTTTAAATGCGGAGAGTTTCGAAAGATTTAGCCTCCTGTATAGACTGAAAACCCCCAAGACCAAAACTCAAAGTTGTTTCATGTGTGTTGTATAAGTGATTTTGCTCGGTTTTTGCCCTCGTCTGTTTTAGTTCGACGGATATGGAATCAAATATTGTTTCTGTTTTAGTTCGACGGATATGGAATCAAATATTGTTTCTCCTAAATTAGATTTCGCAATTATTTGGTTTAATGTTTTTCTCTTTTAGCCTTCAATTAGATTTTCTCAATATTTGTATTGTTTGCTTCAATTTGCTAACCTTGCCGGATATACTAGTGTGAGAACTTTCCATTGTAAACAAAATGTAGTTTCCCTTGGCATTAATTCTTAACCACTGATAGGTCATCTAAAATCTTTTCAAAAGGTTAACGAATAAAACTCGAACTTCTCATTTCGGTGAAAAGATGATTAATCAATTCAAAATGAGACCACAACATTTGGCTGAGAGTGTTATCAAATGAGTTATACTGCTCATGCTGTTGGTTCCAAGAAGCCCTGTTAGATTCAGGCTTGATGGTTCGACTGATAAGCCAGACAGAAGGATTGGAGCAGGAGGCTTTATGATAAATTGCACGCAGGAGGTTAATACTTGCTGTGCTTTCGGGGCTTTTTGGGGGGCTACGGTTGTTAGAATCTGAAGGTTGAAATTAACTCCATGTTAATCGCTAAGGATCACCAGCGATTAAGTCTCCAATAAGATTGAGCTCTTTGATAGACCAAGAGTACAAGACCAGTTTTTTTTGGGTAAAAAAATGCAAGACTAGTTACAGCAAGCTTTTGTCTTAAGGGCATTGGCCTCCCATTAAACACCAAAAAGGAAAAAGTTCCTAAAAAGTGAGAACAAAACAATCCCACCCTATGCGTTAAATTTAAAATCGAGGATAAATTGTGTTTTGAAAAAAGGGTGGATTCTTCTTTATCTGCGCTTCTCTTCCGCTCACTTTTCGTAGGAAACCATTTTCAGTCAATTATCAAGATCGAAACGAACCAAACAGCAAAAGCAAGCAATTCTGGTTGAATATCAATAATTCCCTGGTCAAAATTTGTAACGATTTACAAAATATCACATGATATGCGTGTCAAGCTACTGTTAGAATTTCAATACACTTTACAAAAACAAATCAAAGCAAAATTTAAGAATTCTAATTTCAAAACTCACAAGGTTATTCCAGTCGCTAGGATGGGGGAAAAATCAAATGGTATTCTATATTGGACATGAACTTCAACCATGCAAAGATAGAACCAGATTCATGCTCCAATGATCAACGAAAAAGTGCTTGAGAAGAATTCAACCACTCATACCATTGCAATCTAGCCAGCAGAGGGGAAATTCACAATCAAGCAGCAACTCACTCACCCTAACCCAAAAATACATTCAGTATTAACAGTCACCCCGCTGTCTTTAGCAAATAGACTGTCAAAAAGCAGGCATATCCGGAACTCCCCCCAGGATTATGTAGCCCGAAGGCAACGCATATCTCTGAACATCATCGTTGTGACTCCTGTTACCCAATTCTACATGTAGAACCGGTTGGTTGTTTAGTCCACACAATTTCTTTAAACACATAATGTCAGGATCGATGCCAAATAAACATGGAAACTACATTTTCTGGGGCAGGATATTAGAGAAAGCTACCATAAAATAGCTGGAAATCTAACCAGCTAAATCAACTGCATCAAACACAAAGGACAAAACTTAAATAGTTAACAAGACTTCAATGCCAAAGAAAACAGAGATATCTACCTCATGTGAAGTACGCCACTTTACATGCAGTAGAACCAAACACATTGCAGCAGTGTGGGATTTCTTTAAGGCTCAATCCTTTCACACCTTGCAGCCAGTTTTGTCTTTGCGTGTGGAGAAACAGAGAGATAAGCTTCCCAATTCCATACCCCAACTTGTTGAAAGTATAAAAAGGGATTGAAGCTAACGGTCCAAAAGTGGGAGTTCAGTTAAAGCACTGAAACTGTCCATTAACCCACATATTTCATACCCATGTTCAAATAAACATAATAAGATCCCAAACTCCATAAGCAAGATTCTATAAGTTCTTTCTACGCTTAATTTCTCTCTCTAGAAAGTAGGACTTCGATAGAAATACACAAAATAGATCAGGTTGTCAAATCACCAAGCACCTAATGGGCCACAGAAGATGTAATAAAGCCAACACTAAAACACAACTGCTTGCGTTTTACTCTTGCATTGCTTCTGCATGGTACTTCTCCAGCTCAGCATCAAGATCTTCAGCAGATACCTTTTCACCACCACGGCCTCTTCCACCTCCATTACCACTTCCACGTCCACGGCCCCCCCTTCTAGGACCACGGCCACCCCCGCCACGTATACGTCCAAATGCACCACCCCTACTCTGTCCACTGCTTAACAAACACAAAAAATACAAAATTTAGGACTCTGATTAATTAATATGTAGCACAGATTAGATAATGAGTATGCCACATCCAACAACAATACAGGTTCAGACTTCTTGACTGCTACATCTCATGCCTCATACACATGTATGAGGCACAACAAAACATCAGCTATGTTTGCAGCAGTAACTGAATTATGAAGCAACACCAGTTTCAGCCTCATACATGTACAAGTATCAACAAGTAAATGTAAGCCTGCATAGAGTTAAGTAATGAGCACAGACAAACTTCCATGACTTTCAGCCCCCTCGATAATAATAATAATATTAAAATCTTATTGCTTCTAGCTTTATTCACTATAATAAGAGATAAGAGACTACAAGCGAAAAGATAATCAAGACTGCGAGTCTAGGTTTTCCCATTACAATAAAAGCATAGAAACTCTAAGGTTGCTTCAGTATGGACCACAAAATAGCTCCTAATAGACCCAACCCAATCATGCAAGGTCCCAAAAGGCCCAACATCATCCAGCATATGCCAAATCAATGCTTGGGCCTTAGTACTCTCGTATCCCTGTCAATTCTTGGCTAGAAAGTTTAGTTATTACCAAAGGAAAAAACCATTGTTGAAACTTTTGACACGAGCCAAGATGTAGAAAGTAAACTGTCACGGAATCTTAAGATCAGAAACAGGACTTGTCATTGTAAAAACCAAAGATATAATGCCTCAAATCAGAGGCATTCATCTCTGGATACGACAGCTTCTCATAGCAATGAAAATTTAAAGAACCCCTTAATCCATTCAGGCATTTAACAGAAAATTCGTTGTCAGTCACAGGTTATTTGACAACTACCATCCATGATATCATTACATATATATATATACAGAAATTCTCTTATGCGGACATCCGGACGTTATTATCGTGCGGACGCCGTGTATTTTGTACTACCCCTCTCTGTTTTCCTGCCTGTTTACAATAGGATCCGCACGATAATAACGTGCGGACATCCGGATAAGAGAATAACTGTATATATATATATATATATATATATATATGAATTCTTCTAGAGACATTATTTCACGCTTAAAAAACCAAAGTAAATTAGTCCACATAATGATTTGCAGACACAATAGACTTGTGACATTGTCAAAACATTCTGCATAAAAAACACATGACTCATAGAAATTCACAAGAAAGGGAAACATGGATAAGCACACAGACCATGGAAAGCAAATTTTAAACCAAAAAGTAGGGTACAAGACATACCCCCTAGGAACTCCATTCGAATTTCCAAAGTTGCCATTAGCAGCAGGAGGCAAAGTAGGAGGTCCGCCAGGTGTCGAAATGTTCGTTCCTACAATCTCTATCTTCATTGGTTTCCCATCAAGCTGAACATTGTTGTATCTTTTAACCGCGGCCACAGCATCTGGTCGTCGTGAGAAGACTACTTCTGCCGTTCCCTAAGAAAAATAATTTTTGTTCTAAACTACAGCATAACACAAAGAATTCTCCAGAAGGACCAATTTATGCGAAACTTGACAAGATACCTTCGATCTCCCACTTCGGTCGTAATGTACTCCATATCGCTTCAGGTCACCAACCTCAGAAAACAGTTCCTGCACATAGTGAGTTGACTTTAGAAAATCTGAAATTGTAAAATGCAATATTTCTGAACTGCTCATATTTCCCAAAAAGTCCAGGGCCAATAAAAAAAGTACTCATACTGCAATTGAATCAATTAAATTTGTAAACAAAAACCCAATCAAATTACAATATACGATTAAATAAAAACATCTCAATACAACAGAACAAAAAGGAACCTAATGTAATAGTGAAAAAAAAATTCACTTTGGATATATGTATTCAAAGGAAAGATTTGGGTTTGCCTTCTTAGTTCAAATTGTTTGCCTCAAATGTTGAACGAAGGCATAAAAAGGGAGTTTCAAGTTTATTGCAAGTATTTGATTTGGGTAGCATAAAAATTTAATGTTTATAAAGTCTGATGAAAAATTTAGAACAAGAATCCAAATCCAAACCCTTAGTTTCAAAAGCAATCCACAGACTACGGAAAAAAGAAACACAATTATGCAAAATCACAAATCATCGAAAGAAATCACCTTGTTAGAAAACAGATCCAGCTATAAATTAGAATTGTGAGATAGCTAAATTACAGAAGCTTAAAAAGTACAAAGCTTCAAGTTATTTCAATATAGAAAAGAGAAAATTACCTTAATGTCCTCGTTGGAAACGCCATAATCGAGATTGGAGATGTAGAGCTTGGTTCCAGTTTCAATGGCCGAGGCTCTTCCAGCTTGAGGCGGGAACGCCGCCGCCCCCTGATCCGCATACAGGTCGTGTTGCCACGCGGTCTCCGGCGCCTAAATCCCCAAAATTTATTATTAGTTTAATTCAACTTCAACTTGAGAAGATAGATCAGAGCCAAAGCCAGAGAGATTTGCTTCTACCTTGGCCGCCGCATACGGCGTCGTACGATTGGCGGCCCGATTGGGCAACCGGCGGGCGGGTCCGGGTCCTGAGGCCCGGCCACGGCCTCGAGCGTTGCCCGATCCGGATTTCTTGCTGGTCTTGATGAGGTCGTCGAGGGACATGTTTAGAGGGTCCTGCATCTTGTTTGACTAGAGAGAGAAACGAAACCCTAGGAGAGAGAAAGAAGGTTAGGGTTTTCTAGCGGAGGTGGAGAGAAAGGTTGAAGGTTTAGAAGTTTCAAAGGGTAGGGTACGTGGGTGAGTGAGAGACCAAAGGCGATGAGAGAGAAGTAAGAGAGAGAAAACAGTGTTTGGAGGCTGTGCGGTTTATATTTGGGGTGTTTTAAATCTTTTATTAATTAAAACGCACAATTGGGGCGTCCAGGTGTCGTGGTGTAGTTGGTTATCACGTCAGTCTAACACACTGAAGGTCTCCGGTTCGGGTCCGGGCGACGCCATCTGTTTTTAAGTTTTCTTTTTCTTTTGTCTCAAATTTTACACTATTCATCAGTGTTACAGTTTTTTAGGTACCTCAACTAGTGCTTGGTTTTGTCTTCTTCACTCCTTTGGCTTTTTGGTTACAATTGTTTTCCAAAACGAATAAAAATATACTCCAAAAAGCTGCATTAGAAATTGAATATGGACCCCTCTCCTAATGTCGCTTATATATTTTATAAAAAATTGAATATAGATTTGGTTTGATGAGAAAAAATAAAAGCACTTTTAGATAACCGAAAACATTTGTAGCCTCGTTTTTTAATAGAAAAATTTAAAGTTAGACATGGCAAAACTTTTCATCCAACCTTTATATACATTTTATTAGAACAAGTTAAATGTCATAAAATGTTCGTTTTCAATGTGATAAGTGTTGGCTGGGAAGGTTTACACATTTCATGTGACATAAATCCATTATTCATAAAATAACTCATCCACTTCTTAATGCTTGGCAAAGGGTTGAAATATATAAAAAAAATATCAACAAAAATAAAAGTTTTACCTCTTAATGTTTTATTGAACAAGTCCACCTGTCAAGAAGATTCAGTTTGGTTGGCAAGAAAGAAAATCTGATAAAAATCAAATAATAATATTAACAAAACTACCACTAGAAAACATATTATAAGCCAGAGATACCCAGTGGCCTATAATCGTTAAAATTGTTTTAAAAAAACTTAATGTTGAGATTAATCTTCACTAAGGCAGACCCATTTCTTAAAAAAACTTAAAACAACATTCAACTTTTGTATTTTCTAGTTTTACCACCTTAGTAACATTAAATGTCCATTTCAAACTTTCTCCTCCCTTCACTTTTCTTTCTCTTTCCCTCTCACCAACAAATGAAATATTTTTCTTTTTTATTTTCTTTTTCAATGAGAAGCACATCACTTCACTCGATGACTTGAAGCTTTCCTTCTTTCTTTATTCTCTCTCTTTCCTCTTTCGTTTTTCTCATTGCCCTCTTTATCTAAAGACCATGAAACTCTAAGACAACAAAAACTCTTCCGAAGTAAGTTGTGTGTTGTATTTTTGGCCCACACAAAGAAAAAAATTATGGATCTGCTATTGCTCTCACTTAATCTTTTATACATCGTGTTCATGTGTTCAATGACACCATACATTTACTTGGTTGAGATTGACTATTATAACAAAATACAGTATTTTGGGACTTTTTTTTTTGTTTTTGTTTTTTTTGTTGAAATAGCACAATGTCATTTAACTATCCAATGTTACAGACTCGAGGAGACAAACGTTGCCTCATCAAAATTTTGCCTAAGAAAACCTAGTGAGAAAAACCTTAGATGAAAGAAACAAAAGTATCACACATGCCATAAAAGGCTACAAACAAAAAACTCAAAACAAAGTCAATTTTTCTTGTGTTTCTTAAAAGGTCGAATGTCACTTGACTTGGACTTTAGAGCCTTCGGTGAAATACGCCTCTTGTTTCCCCTTGCTTCTTTGTGGACTGCATTTGCATCCGTCATCTCCACGTCCACCTCCAGGATGGTGGTGTCGGTGATAACAAACTCACCACTTGTAGTGGGAGAAACAGCAACTAGTGGGGGAGTAAGGGGAGTAAAACTTGCCTTGGTATAAGAAACGGCAGCTGGTGGGAGAGTCACAGAAGGCACTGGCACTGGGGGAGGGCTTCCACGGTAGATGGAGGAACAATGTCTAGTTGGATTGAGCTTTAGTATATAAAATTTAATCTTGTTAGTTTCCTCCAATATTTTATCTATAAAATGAGTTAAATATATACTCATAATATTAATGGACTTTGGTTTACTAAGAAATTGTTTGCGATTGCTTTTAAAAATGAGAATTTGTTTTTTCATAAAGAAATGTATAAAATGTGTTTAGATAACCAAAAGAGTTTCTGACATCATTTGACCCAAAAAAAAAAAAAAAAAATTGTAAAAGTCCTACTAAAGTATTCCAATAGTTTGGAATTAGACATGGTGATAATTTTTCATCCGACCTTTATATAGTTGATTGACATAAGATATTCCTTGATCTAGCTGATTGACCTAAGATATTCCTTTATCGGATAAATATAATCATTAGGTAGACTGTATTTCACGAGATAAGTATTGGCTGCACATTTTATGTGACATAAGTCCATCATTCATAAAATTACTCATCCTGCAAGTGCATTTCTGATGCTTGGCAAATGGTTGAAATATAAATATGGATATTAGAAAGAAAATAAAAGGAATTTACTTGTTTATGTTTTATTCAACAAATCCACTTCTCATTAATAAGTGAAATGATATTATCCGAGGACACGTGTCATGTCCATGGGAAAGCTGTTTGAGTTGATATGACATAGAAAAAGAAGATTGGAACAAAAACAAGAAATCATCAATTGTTAAAAATAATACAAATATATAAGGGCCCAACCGGGTTCGAACCGGTGACCTCTTGATCTGCAGTCAAATGCTCTACCACTGAGCTATGGACCCATTTGCTTGTTAAGTTTCCTCGTGTCAAATATTTATTTGAGATTTCGTTTCTCTTTTGGGTGTATATCAGCCCTTTAATTGGGCCTGAATAGGTCTACTTATTATAGTGACCCAGAAAAATAAACTGTATCCCGTTTTGGTTTTTTCCAGCTATGGTTGGCATTTTTTTTGAAATTCTTTTACTGATTTTTAAATTCCAGTTTTTTGTTTTTTGTCATTTGCTAGGAAGAGAAAGGAGAGTATTTTATTGGGTTGTCTCAAGATTGTCTCCTACGTGAATCGAACCTGGGTACGCTTGTAGGGGGAGGGGTAGAGTTTGGCCCACTTTTCCAATGTGGTGCCACTGCCAACCCATTTGAATTTTTAAATTCCAGTTAATCATGGTTAGATTCTAAAATATGCATTTAGAAACTGGATGTTTCCATTGTTTGCATAATATTGCATGACATGGTCTTTCAACCTTACCAAAAACTGCGGATTAATTAGCTAGTGAGAGCTACCAGTGGCCAAATCTTAGGAAGCTACTAGAAACATTCAAACATTCAACACAGCCAAAACAAATCAAAATAAAGAAGGGATGCCTAATATTCTACTAAAATTCGCCACAAACTCAACAAGTTAACTATGGATATAATCTGAAATGTAATCCAAGCAAATAACCCACTTAAAGTAAAAAACATTGAGCTATTGAAGCATCTAAAAAAGAATTACATGAAACTTTATATTAGTTTCTAGAGAACAACATCAAGCCATCATCAACCTCTCTGCGTCTCTCTGTCCCCTCCCACAAGGCCAAGGACCGCACCACAAAAGCCGAACCCGCCACAATCAAAGCTGCAAACACCGTAGGCACAAAGAAATCCAAGTTGGACCTCCGAACCATGTTAGCCGGGAAGCACATTGCCTCTCTTGGATAATCCAAGGGTATTCTAACAAACCCCTCTCCAGCACAAGACTTGGAGAAGGGCGAGGAGGGAGATATGGCTGTGACGAACGCAATCTCAGGAGAGAAAGAAGCCACGGCCACTGTCACCGTCAGAAAAAGCGTCCAGGTGGCCGCATAGAGAAACACCGGCCACCTGGACGTGAGGGCTCGGAAGAGTGAGTGGAAGAACGGGAGAGACATGTCACAAAGTTGTGGAGGTTTGTGGAGGAAGGTGGGTCTAGGGTGTCAACAACATTTATGGGACGAAAGAGAAGGGGGTGGAAGCACGTTGAGTGTTGCTGATCATTTTCAATTTTTCATGGTTTTTTATCGTTATTACAAAATTGTCCCTTGGTTGTTGGTTCAGTTGCATCGTTCGCGCCTTAGAGGCTCTCACGATTTTCTTCTGTAATAATTAATTAAACTTTCATCCACCACAAAAAAAAAGTCAATTAATGAATATTCAAATTTATTAGATGAACCAGTCCAAGTTCCACTCTCAAGTCTAGGATGGAGAAACTCAGGTAGTGTAAGAGGTTGAAGATGAATTCTGAAAACCAAATCATGGAATGTGGCTGTAGTTGGCAAGCCAATGGATCTTCAAAGGTAATTATTTGTAGAGAGAAGTTCATCTCTTTGAGACCAAGAAATAGTGGAAAACCAAAAGCATGTAAAGCTAAGCTGAGGCACGCAAATTGGTCTCTTAGCAAGAAATATTGGAAAACAATCGACCACTATTTTCGGTTGTTGGTTACAAACCAAGATTCCAAATAAGCTTTGTTATAGCCTACGAACAATTACAGACCACTTTCAACTTGCCAAGCCTATAACTGCTGCATCAGGGAGGTGATCCCCGGGAACTTCTGGGACCGTGCATATATCATTTCGCTGCTCAGGATGTGATGCCATTACCATCAAACCCATGTTGCAGCAATGGAAGTGAACTCAGATGCAGCCAGGAAGATGGCCTTGCAGTTGTCATGTGAACTGTAAATTGGTCATCTGTGGAATGTCCAAGCTCACCATTCTTGGCCAGTAGCAACTTGCATGATCACATGTAACAAGTGACCAGAATGGCCGTCTGTACCCTCCTGCAAACTGTCCACAGTTATTAAGTAGATCCCCTTCTCTAGTCTCCAGACCATTTTATTTTTCTCAGTTTGAGAAAATCTGACTCAAATGAATATAAGAGGTGAAGAATGAGGAAGCATTCAATATGGCCACCTTAGCTTCACACTCCACTGTTGTGCATGTTAAACACCTCAACCTTGACTCAATGGGAATATTTCATTTAAAACTTTATAAACCAGTAGAAAAGGACATGTTTATCCTTTCTGATATCAGACAAGATTACCATGAACAAATTTCAGACTTTGAATCCCAAGTTTTCCACCAAGTTTGAATGAGAGAGAAAGAGAGAGGTTTGTACAAAACTTATGATTACACGTGACGGGAAGGATGAATTTACCTTAACAAGGAAAACTCCACGAGTAGTCCTTGTACTCATCATGGCCTTAATATGATCGTTACCCTGAAAAAATATTTGTATTCCTTCATCACAGTCATTACCAAACACCATCCACGAGCAAATCAGAGGTTCAGCCATCCATTTTAGCACATTCGCAAGTTTTGACCAGCATATTTGTAGATTCAACAATTAACAAATCCTGCATGATTCCAACTTGTTTACTCCAATAAGCATTGCAGTGCCAAAATCCAAGTTAAGTCAGCAAGCCTAAATCTCCCATCTTGAAATTTACCTTCACTTTGCACATATAAAGCTGGGGAGCTTTTTGTTTTTCGTTACTGGGACCAATGTGCGCCATTTGTTGTAATGGCCTTAATAATAAAGGTGCCAATCCTTCTGAAGATGAGCAGGTTTACCCAAGTCAAATGATCCGAAGAGAATTCCCTAACAAGGTGCCAATCCCCCTGTTATAAGGTCACTCAGATTTATTTAGTCAATGGGCAAAGGGTTAAAAATTACAAAATAAGAAGCAAAAACCAATAGCAATGAGAAGGTCAGATAAAGAGGTCCAATATATGTAGATTACCATGCATGATCATAATGAATCCCCTTACATTGAAGACTAATAAAAGCAACTAAATGATTCTTTGACAGAAAATGGAAATAGCTAAGTAGGTTGAAGGGACTTCACCCTGCAATTTCAGTAGTTCTAGTATTTGAGGACCAACCAGACTGAGCAGTAGGGCTTCCAGTGAAAGAGTTCGAAGTCATTACAGACCAGATTATAAATCTTGAGAACAAGTCTAACTGTTTTGGCGTTGAATGCCAACAAAAAATATCACAAAGAAACTTTCAAGAACAGAGACAACTTGAAGGTCCAAGACATGTACCAGGCAGAAAGTTAGTTCTACTGTCCCTGGTTTTTTTCTTTTTGGCAATGGGTGGCATCCTTCCCCCTCTCATTTACTGCCCCTCCTCCATACTCAAATGGAATGCATACCACAAAATAAACAGACCATTAGGCTATTTTCTACAACTATAACATACATAACTAAGTTGGAAACTTAACAATACAACAGTCTGTGACAGGATGAAATACTTTACCAAATTGCTCAGTCAACAGCTTGAAATATGGGAATTTGAGTTAGAGAACAGTAAGATGTGAGGTAACCTTCTAGTTTTCCCACCATCAGCTTGTAGGTCCATTGACACAATCCTCTTCATCCAACAATGTGCCCAAATATTAAAGAGAAGGGATAATTTAGTCTATTACTCTGAGGCTTCAGCCAAAGAACGTAACAGAGGCAAATGAAAAAACACCATACAAAAAACCAAATGACAGTAGTGAATACACAGGAGATGACCATTTCTGCCATCGTTCCAGTAATCAGGGCCAGAATAACAACAATGGCATGCTTATACTGAAGGTCTTGATGCTATTAGGTAGCATAAACTAATAATACACTACCAAACAACGCTGCTTCTCAAAATTAGTCATGAGGTGATGCAGCATTGAAAGAGAGACCCTATAAGAGTTTCCCAACTCTTAGCTAAATCCTACAAGTTAATATGTGAACAGACAAGGATAAAAGTACTTTTGGAACAATGTTGATGAACCAAACTCTCCACATTCAGCTATAAGAGCATTGTCAGGAAAAATATGAACATGAAAGCGATATTTGCACAACACTTTCCACAGGCAGGCTCAGCAACCAACAAAACATGTCAATGCACTCCCTGCAAAAGGACATACTCTTCTGGTAAATTACACTCACAAATAAAAGAAGTGAATCATGTTACTCCATGAAGGGAATCGCTTTGGATCTCAGTATCCCATTGCAAAAATTGAAGTGTTTTTGCAGTAATGTCATTGCAAAAATATGCACACTAGCATGCGTTGGACATATAAAACCATTAACTACAGGCTACAGCAACCCATATCGAGCAAACAAAAGACCCAGACTTCAAACAATCAAAAGGACCAAACCCCAACATCAGAATCATAGAAAACAAAAACAGGTATGAATTTGGGTAAAATTCGTAGTGAATAAAAATATTACAGTCCCATATCACACATATAAACATTCACATCAGAGTACAGCACAATTTAATGTCGCATTTTCATATTACGAATACTCGTAAATTTAAATAAAGATAGGCAATTGGGAAAAACGAACTTCCATTAGAAATTTAGACTACGACAGAACAATCAGTACTTACTTACATGAAAAGCATCAAAACCCACAAACCCTAACCCTAATTTCTTCACACCCCCATCCCTAAACCCAAAACACATAAACAATCCAACTCTTCAAGAGCTAGTAAACTTGGTAACAGCCTTGGTCCCCTCAGAAACAGCGTGCTTGGCGAGCTCACCAGGAAGCACAAGTCTCACAGCTGTCTGGATCTCCCGAGAAGTAATCGTGGGCTTCTTGTTGTACCTTGCAAGCCTGGAAGATTCCTGAGCGAGCTTCTCGAAGATATCATTGATGAAGCTGTTCATGATGCCCATGGCCTTGCTGGAGATCCCGATATCAGGGTGGACCTGCTTCAGCACCTTGAAGATGTAGATCTTGTAGGTCTCTACGCTCTTCTTCGATCTCTTCTTCTTCTTATCTCCAGCGGCAGCTCCGGCTTCCTTTGGGAGCTTCTTGCCGGCCTTGGGCTTCTTCTCAGCTGGGGCTTTCTCAGCCACCGTCGACTTCTTCTCCTCAGCTGGCTTTTTCTCGGCGGGCTTCTTCTCAGCTTTGGGCGCCATCGGAAATTTTCTCTTTTTCTCGGGGGAAAGAAATGTAAACTTTGACAAGAGGAAATTGAGAGGACTTGCGAATTGTGAGATGAGGAGGAAGGGGTTAGGGCCTGATATTTATATTAGGTCGTTTCTTCGTCTTTTTGTAGGAAAGGTGCGGATCGGTGACGTGGTGAGTAATGGCCGTTGGATTTTGTGGAGTAAAATTGGAGATCGACGGCTTCAATTGATGCGTAAAGTTCTGGTTTGCTTGTTTATTGGGGTGTGTACGTGGTGTGTTTTGCTTGGTTTAAATGAGGAGGTGCGGATTGATGAGCTGGAGGGAAATGTTCGTATTGTTCGCCTGGGAAAATCGTTTTATGTGATAAATTTTTCATACATATATATTTCAATTACCACTATGTACGTCCACAACAAATGACCCAAGAACAATAATAATAAGTTACAAACAAAAAAAGAAATCCAAATTACAAGACGTGTTTTTACAAATCGTATATAGTTTACTAAGGGAAACAAATCAGGGGATGAACTACCTATAAGGCTACACTAAGCAGCTTTTTAAACCTATTATAGCTCATGTTGTTTTTGAAGAAAAACAAAATTAAACCTATATAGCTCATCAACTTGCCATTTTCACTTCTGGTTGGGGCCCTTGTTTTGTGGTCTTCTTGGCGATTTCCCCATTATGTTAATCTTTATGTTGCATTTAATCTGTATTTGTTTTATGCTAAATTTATTGAAAATTAGTTCATAAGGCGATGATTTAGCGTGGTTTATATGATTAATGTATACTTTTTATTTCTAGTGAAAATATAGAAATTATAAGTTAAAAAATATCATTAGATTTTCATGCATGGTCATATAGAACGACTTTTTTCATGCAGGGTCATTTGGTGAATAGGGTTATGTAGTTAGATAAGATTTATAATCGTAATAATATGTTTGGTTGCCTAAAGACAATTATATATATATAATCCTACTAGGCCAAATGTGGTAGGATTCAATATATTGGGATTGGAT